TCCCTCCTCCCTCGGACTCTGGAGTCCTCACCCCCATCCCTCCTCCCTCGGACTCTGGAGTCCTCACCCCCTCCTCCCTCCTCCCTCAGACTCTGGAGTCCTCACCCCTATCCCTACTCCCTTGGACTCTGGAGTGCTGACCCCTAGTCCCTCCTCCCTCGGACTCTGGAGTCCTCACCTCCAGCCTCTCCTCCCTCGGACTCAGGAATGCTGACCCCTAGTCCCTCCTCAATCAGACCTGGGAATCCTGACCCCCCCAACCCCTCCTCCCTCAGATTCTGGAGTCCTCCCCCCCCAGCCCCTCCTCCCTAGTATTCTGGAGTGCTCATCCCTAGTCTCTCCCCCCTCAAACCTGAGAATCCTGACCCCCAGACCCTCCTCTTTCAGACCCAGGAGTCCCTACCTCCAGCCCCTCCTCCCTCAGATGCTGGAGTACTGAAACCCCCCCCCCAGCCCTTCTCCTTCAGACCTAAGTCCTGACCGCCCAGCCTCTTGTCCCTCAGATCGTGGAGTCCCGACCTCCAGCCCCTCCTCCCTCATATGCACTAGTCCCTGTCACCTCCCTAGGGCCCGAGAGTCTGCATCCCAATCTTTTCCTCCTCCAGACCTAAGAATTGTCCCCTACCGTCAGATCCAGGAATCCTGACCCCCAGCTGTCCCCTTCTGACCCAGGAATCTTGGTTTCTGGCCCCCCTACTTGCGGGACCTGCGAGTCCTAGCCTTTTCTCCTTTCAACTTTAAAGTTCTAACCCTTGGGCTCCTTCGTCCTCCCTTCAGGGGCTAGAATCAGGACCCCCTCCTCGCATCAAACCCAGGAGTCCTGATCTCGTCCCACCTCAGACTGGAGAGTCCAGACCCCGGATTTATGATCCCCTAACTTTCCCCCACTTCTACACACACACATACACACACACCCCTCTCCCCACTTCTACACACACACCACTCTCCCCAATTCTACACACACCCTCCCCACTTCTACAGACTCTCATGCGCGTGCACTCGCTCGCTCTCATTCTCACTCACTCTCCTGCCTCCTTCTTTTCCCAGGATGTTCTTTATGTGGTACTTCAGTGGCAATTAGCAAATCCATCTTTCCCTTCCTCCTCCCACTTTAATCCCTGAAATAAAGAGTATGTATTTTCCTGCTCCAACTTCTTTAGTCTTTCAAAGTTGCCATTACTAACTTGGGTCGGTGTAAGGGGACAGCACACATAGGAGAATTTGGGCCCCCATAAAGAAGGCACACAGGGCAAGGACCTGCTGTGTCCTCTCTGTATGGACGAAGGAGACTGTTCCCTGCCGCACATCAGTCGGGGCTTTCATCACATCACGGTGTGTGAGCATCAGAACTAACATGAGGGGGGACGAGGTCAGAATCACCCCTCAGCCTCAGCCCAAAGCTGATTCCGAACAAGACAGATAGATTCTCCAGGTCTCTTTATGGGTTTGATGTTGCAGTAGTCACGCAGACCCTATTACGGGGTTTATTACGTGTCATGTCCCCAAAATACATGTCCATCCTGATAAGATGTGGGAGCTGTGTAAGGATAGTCCCTGATCCAATTGGTCATAGGATTAAGGGTGAATGTAACTTTTTAAATCCCACCACAGCCATAATGGGATATAAGGGGCGTTCCCTTAGAGTGTGTTTTATCTCACTAGAGAGAAAAGGAGAAGAAAGTAAACCAAAAGGGAGAGGCTTCATTGCCACCAGGAACTAATCACCACGAGTGGGGGTGCATCTTTCTGGACGCAAGCCCCTGTGTTACAAAACTCCTTGGAGCACATGGAGGTCTGAAGAGAATGATGAGCTTACAGATGTTGAAGGAAACAAGAACTTTCCTCCACCACCTTCACCAGAGAGTGAGCTTTCTCCTAGATTTAATACCCTGAATTCGGATTCAGTTTAACCTCCTAAACTGTAAGAAAATAAAATTCTGTTCATGAACGTCAAACCCTTATGAGCGTCTGTGTATAGTAGCATTAGAGAACTGAGGTATTGGGGGAGTGACGTGCCATAATTTGGGATCAGAAACGGATAGTGTTTTCCAGTCAGGACAGCCTCAGCTGTGCAGAAGGTGGGCCTCCCTGGCCCTCGCCCCTCAGCTTGGTTTCTGCGCTGCTTTGGTCACTGTTAACAAAACTCTTAAACTCTGCCTATCCCGCTCCACCAATAATCCTGTTTTAGGATGCTCAGGACTAACTCAGCGGGTTCACAGACAGCTCCACCACGTCCTCAGAGGCATCTGTTCTGTCAACAAGAAGGCCTGAAGGCCCTCAGTTTTGTCCCACCCCAGGCTGGAAGCCCACTTCATTGCCCCCTGAGGCTGCCGTTTCTCACTGTCTGTTGTCGACCAAGGGTAAAGACTAAAGAGCGAGACAGGACACCAAGAATGGAGGAGATCACAGAGAGCATAAAGCAGGGACCGACCAGCTGGAAGAACTGAAGCCAACCAAAGCTCCGAACCCAGCTTCCCTGTGCCTTTATTGAAAATTGCTGGGGAGCAAATCACAAAGAGAATTCTATGCAAAAGAAGCTAAGCTCTTTCCATTAAAAACCTTATGTTTGACTCAAGAGGGAGGGGTTAGCAAACATAATACAAGAATGGTGAAAACACCTAAGGTCTGCCTCGGTGCTTAATCCCTGGTGAACACCCAAGGTCTGCCTTGGCCTTTCAGGGGGAATTCCAGCTTGCATCTGCAACTCCCTCATATCCTGATATAGCATTTGGTTTATCATGAATATTTAGTTTGAAATTTGGCTTCCCACAAAGAGCAATGGTGTCAGTCTGGAGACTAAAGTGTGCCTGACACAGGCATGGTCTTTGCAATCACATGCTATGTGTCAGAGAGCTGGACAATGATTAGAGAGGATAGTATAATTGATGCCTTTGAACTGTGGTGTTGGAGTACTGAATATACCGCAGACTGCTAAAAGAACAAACAGGTTTGCCCAAGAGAGGGTTAAACCAGGCTGCTCCTTGGAGGCAAGGATTCTGAAGCTTCATCTGACATACTTTGGACATGTTGCAAGGAGGGACCAGTCCTTGGAGAAGGACGTCATGCTTGGGAGGCTGGAGGGACAGCGCAGGAGAGGAAGATCCTCTATGAGATGGATTGATTCAGTGACTGGGGTAACGGGGGGTAGGTGTGTCAGAGACAGTAAAGTTGGCACAGGATAGAGCAGGGTTTAGGGCTGTTGTACGTAGATAGGATCGCTTTGAGTCACCTGTGACTCAACGGCGTGTAAAAATAACAATAACTGCCTCTATTGTTAACAGTGTATTTCCTCTCTTCCTTCCCCCTGGGCCCTAGGAGATTCCCAGCACTGGAATCTTGGGGTCCAAAGGACAAGTTCCACCCTCATATTTTCTTGGTGGTGATGGTGGTGGGGGCTTCTCTACTTCCTCCTGACTCAGGGTGTGACTTCAGTAAGGCAGTGTGAAGGCAGGTGCTTGCAGCAAAGTGGTGACTCAGAAGACACCCCACCCCACTCCCATCTCATTGACATCACAGACATCTCCAAAGTGGAAACACGGTCCTAGAGACCAGGACTGACAACACATCCCAACATGGAGCCAGGATTAAGAAGTTCACTAAACTTGAGGCCTCCCTGGTTCTTAGAAAGGAATACAGAAGCATCTCTGAAGAAAATAAATAAAATTCTTTAATTATTCACTGATCACATAGTACACATAGAAATTAAATAAGGAGGGGAAAGTAGGGGGCCCGTTTCTTCCTGTCCCTAAAAACCCCACACCCTACTCAATAAATACCCATCCCCAAGGATCCCAACTGAGTCTGGCTTGGGGGGCTGGGGTCAACCCCCCTGGTCCTGGTCACACATTGGTTAAAAACATTCCACTGCTAACCGTGAGAGGTCAGTGGTTCACACCCACCAGCAGCCCGGTGGGGGAAAAAAGAACTGGGAAATGTGCTCCTGGAAAAACTACAGCCTTGGAAACCTACTGGTCAGTCGGCCTCTGCGCCCCCGCTCCGGGGTCGCCCGTGCAGGACTTGCTGGGCTGCACAGCCGATAACGGGACCTTGACCAGCACTACCCCCCTTTCCCAGCGCCTGGCAGGCAGTCGCGCCACCACCAGGGCTCCTCGGCCACTTCCCAGAGGGGGGGCGCTGGACGGACCCTGGCTGCCCTCACACCTGGACACGGTAGCCCCCCGCCCGCCGCCGACACAGCCTGCGCACGCCCACCCAGTACAGCGTCAGCATGAGCGCCCAGTAGCCCACGTAGGCGCCGGCCCCAGCGGCCAGGTGGCGGGCCTCGGCCGCCCGCGAAGGGCCGCTCCAGTCGGCGGCCACCTCCTGCGCCACGCTGCGCACCAGGCCGCCCAGCAGCAGCAGCGCCCACAGGGCCAGCGGCAGCACCGGCACGTAGTTGGCGGCCAGCTGGCGGCGGCCCGACGTGCCCCAGCCGCTCTGGTTCATGGTGGCCAGCGCCAGGAACTTGGCGGGCAGCAGGCCGCCCATGTAGAGCGGCGCGTAGAGCGAGAGCAGCAGCATGCGCGCACAGCCGCGCAGCCAGGCCGCGAAGGCCGCCTTGGCCAGCGCCACGCCCTGCACGCACAGCAGCACCCAGAGCAGCGCCCAGGGCCGGCCCGCGTAGAACAGCCGCAGCACCGTGGCCGCCACGAAGAAGGGGAAGAGGCCCGAGACCACGGCCTCGTACGTCATCCACGCGTGATGCCGGTGCCACCACAGCGCGTTGTACAGCCACTCGCGGAAGTAGGACTTGGACCAGCGCGTCTGCTGGCTCAGCCAGCGCAGGAAGGACGAGGGCGTCTCCGAGTAGCAGCGGGACCTGGACGTGTACCTGGGAGGGGGGGCAGAGGGGGCGTGAGCATGGGGGCCTGGGGAGGACCTGGTGGGGAGACGGAGCATGGGGGGCCTGGGGAGGACCTGGTGGGGAGACGGACAGGAGGGCATGAGGATGGGGAGCCTGGGGAGGACCTGGTGGGGAGATTGAGCATGGGAGGATCTGGTGGGGAGGTGGAGCATGGGGCGCCTGGGGAGGATCTGGTAGGGAGACGGACGGGGGTGGGTGTGAGCACGGGGAGGGGCTACGGAGGACCTGGTGGGGAGACGGACAGGAGGGCATGAGGATGGGGGGCCTGGGGAGGTCCTGGTGGGGAGACGGACAGGGGGTGTGTGAGCACATGGGGCCTGGGGAGGATGGGGGGAGAAGAGCAACGGGGGGGCCTGAACATGGGGACGTGGGAGGCTGCCTGGGGGGGAGAAGAACGGGGCTTCTGGGGAGGACCTGGGGGAGAGACAGATGGGGTCCTGAGTATAGGGACTTGGGAGGCTGCCCTGGGAGGTGGGAAGAACATGGGGCCTGGGGAGGACCTGGGGGAAGAGCGCTGGGGGGCCTGAACATGGGGACCTGGGAGGCTGCCTGGGGGGGGAGAAGAACGGGGGTTTCAGGGAGGACCTGGGGGAAAGACAGATGGGGGTTCTGGGGAAGACCTGGGTGGGGGGAGAAGAATGGGTCTGCAACGATACTTGACTCAGAGACCCAACAGAGTGTTATCACGAGTTGAAACAGACGGGACAGCAGTAAGGTCTTTTTTTTTTTTTTTTTTTAATATACTTGCTCAATAATGTTCGCTCCTACAAGGACTATTCCGATGAGTAATGGTGTTACTATTGCTCTTACTAATATTATTCCTGTTATAGCACTACTGCTAATAGGATCACTAGCCTATTACTAACACCATTGTGATCACTCTTCCTGGCTGTCCCCTCAACAGGAGAGCAGACACACACGCTTCCCAGTTGGGGCAGGCACGTGGGAAAGCTTTCCAAAGCAGCCAACAGCCGGCCAGTTTCCTTCCTGTGGCCACTGAGGCGTCACTAGTCCAACCCTGCACATTCCCAGCTGGCCACTCAAAGCCGGAATCCCGCTGACAGCCACAGGGTGGTCACCAAGCAGCCAGCTAACTAGAGTCGGACACCCTGGTCCGTGTGTCCATTCTCCCAGCCTGTCTCAGAATCCACGCCCCTCTCCCGACTTCTGCTGATAACACAAGACCCCTGCCTTAGTGAAAAGGGCTAATCCTTGAC